TCGGCGGTCTCTCCGCGCCAGAGCGACTTGTGGTTGAGCGCGGTCAGGCGCAGCACGAGCCATGCGGCGGGAGAGGCGGCGCCCTCGCCGCCGCCCTCCGAGACCGCCTCCACCTCCACCATCCGGTAGAGCTTGCGCTCGCTCTGGTCCTCGCAGCTCTGCACGCGCAGCGCGCGAGAGAGGGCGGTGCACGGCTCCGCCTTGTACATCTCCACCTACCAATGACTCACGACTCGTTCATTCATTGTGAAGTGAGCGGTGCCTTGCTTCGCCTCGCACATCTCACCGGCTTGCGCGCGCGCTTTGCGCGCGGCGGCGCCGCCTCCTCCTCCTCCCTCGCGCCGCCTCCGGCAGCGCCAGCCTCGCCCTCCTGCTGCAGGCGCTGCTTGTGTCCCGCCCACTGCGCCTCCGTCGGCATGCGCCGCACCGTCGCGCGCCGCCAGCGGCCGTCGACGAGCAGGCGGAGGCGGTCGCCCGTCGCGGGCTCCTCGCGCTTCCAGTCCTCCTCGGGCAGGGAGCAGGAGTTGTACTTGTCCCACGTGTTGTAGTGGCAGTAGAACTCGCGCCGCCACGCCGTCACGCCGCGGGGCAGCCGCCTCCACGCGCCGCAACTCTCGCATTGCAGCCGGTCGACGCCGGTGTAGCCGTCGCGGTTCCGCTGCACCCACCGCTTGTTGCACGCGTGCGACGTGGGGCAGAACCAGTTCTTGATCGCCGAGAGCACGACGACGTTCTGGCGGCAGTCGGCAGAGAGGCGCCACAGGGAGTGCTTCTCTCGGTTCCGGCGGATGATGCCTATTGGACGCGTGTCTCGGAGCTGTCCTGCACAGTGTCCTGGGCACGTGCTTCTCTCTGCTCCGGCAGAGGGGTGCCGCGAAACTCGTCCTTCCAGCGGCCGGCGACGGTGCACTCGTAGAACATGTGCGTGACGCCCGAGGCGGCGAGGGTGGCGCCGAGGCGGACGCACTGCTCCTCGGAGAAGCGCAGCTCGCCGAGGTTGATGGACCAGACGGGGCACTTGCGCAGCAGGTCGCAGAGCGCAGCGAAGAGCCACGGCTTGGTCTGCAGAGAAGGAGGGGAGGCGAGGCGAGGCGAAGGCGAGGTGGGGGGCGAGGAGCGGAGGCGGGGACAGGCGCCATGCGGTAGTGGGCAGCTTGGAGGGTTGGGGAGGAGGGGAGGAGGGGAGGAGGGAGGAGGTGGGAGGAGGAGGGAGGCGGCGATGCAGATGACCGAGGGGTGGCAGGAGGGGAGCTCCGGCGGCGCGGGTTGCCTGCAGAGGAACCGCTCCCTGCAGGAAGACGACCTGCGGCGAGGGCGGGGGCGATCGGGAAGAGGGCGGGGGTGCGGAGGCTCTTTTCTGCTCTCTCTCGCTGCGTCCCGCCTCGCGGCGTCTCGCTGCGGCCAGGACGGCCGTGGCTAGGCAAGGCCCTCCTCGCCCGCACGCCCACCTCGTCCGCCAGGGGAGGAGCCGCACGAGCACTAGGCGCGAGGGCTGCGGCGTGCCTGGACGGGCGTGTTGTGGGCGATGAGCTCGGTGAGGAGGAGCTCGACCTGGCGGGCGTCCTTCTTGTCGATCAGCTCGTCGCTGTGCAGCACGGCCGGCCGCAGCTGCACAAACTCCTGCACCCGCTTGGCGACGCTCGGCGGCACGCGCGGCGGCGCAAAGTCGCACACCCAGCCGCCGTGCGCGAGGGAGAGCTCGCGCCGCGCTTGCTCCTCCTCGTCGCGGGCGCGGAGGTCCTGCTCGTCCTCGAGCAGCGTGTCGCGGCAGAAGAACTTGCAGCGGGGGCAGGCGGAGGCCGCTTTCTGCGGCGGCATCGGCCGGCTTGCGGTGGGATGTGGCGCCGACGGTGCGATCTCGCCGCCGGCTTGCGGTGGTGAGCGAGGAGAGAAGCGCCGACGGGTGCGAGCGAAAGCGCGCGCACTCACGGGCGTTTTCACAGCCGCCCCCGGCACCCCGAGCATCGAAGCTCTACCAACAATTTTCCACGGACAGCCAAAAAGACAGTCCCTCAGGTTGCCGGTGGGTCGTGGTCTGAGCGAACGGCCACCGGAGCCGAAAGCGGCGTGAGCCGCAGGAGCAAGCCGTCGAGCGGCTGGAGCGTCACGTTCAGGGCCTCCTTGGGCTCGGTGCTGCCGGCCGACAGGCTGAAGTCGCGCAGCACGTGCGCGAGCAGTGAGAGCACCTGCGCCTCTGCCAGCCGGTAGCCGACGCAGAGGCGCGGTCCTACGCCGAAGGCGACGATGGTGGCGCCGTGCGCACCGTACTCGCCGCGGCCGAAGCGGCTCGGGTCGAAGCGCGCCGGCTCGGGGAAGAGGGACGCGTCCTCACAGATCGCGATCTTGTTCTGCACGATGCGCGTGCCCTTTGCCACCGAGTAGCCGTGGATGGTCGCGCGTGACGGAGCGAGCCGCGGCACGAGCGGCACCGTCGGGCGCAGCCGCAGCGCCTCGAACATGACGCCCTGAAGCAGCGAGCACTTGTAGAGGTCGGCGAGGCTGGCGCGGCGCAGGTCGAGGGCGGCCACTTCGGCGCGAACCTGCTCCTGCTCGCGCGGGTGAGTGGCGAGCAGATGCAGCGCCCAGGTCGCCGTGTTGCTCGACGTCTCGTGCCCCGCGAGCAGCAGCCCGGTCATCTCGTCGGCGACTGCGGACGGCGTGAGCGCCGAGCCCCCGCTCTCGGCACACTTGGCGAGCTTCGCCGCCAGGCTGCCCGACGCCTCGCTGCTCCCCGCCGCCGCTCGCTGCAGGATGGCCTCCGCCGTCGAGCGATAGAGCTGCAACGCACCCTTGAAGGCGCGCGTCTTCGCACGCTGCAGCGGCGCGAGCTTGCCCAGGAGGAAGCGACGAGTGAGCTCCTGCAGAATGACCTTGGCGGCGGCGGCGTACGGGCTCTGGCGCTCCTCGCGAGCCGACGCAAGGGCGCCGAAGTCGTGCGCACACGCCACATGGCCAAAGATGTCGAGCGACCAGCTGCTCAGCGTCTCGTGTACGTCCTGCTCGGGCACTTCGTGCTCACAGGACGCGCGCGTGCGCCACAGCTCGCACAGCTCGAGACTCTTGGCGTGCACGAGCGGGAGGAACGAGTCGATCGAGGAGGTCGAGAAGAGAGGGGCGACCAGCCTGCGCTGCATGGCCCAGTCTGGGCCCATCGGCAGTGCCAGCAACGACCTGGGCGCCACGGCGGCAAAGGCGGAGCGGTCTGAGTCGGCCTTGCGATACCAGCCGGGCACGTCTTTGACATACACCGCACCCGACTTCCCAAAGAAGCCGAGGAGCCGGAAGGCGGAGCCCAACAATGCGTGCTGGCGAGCGTAGAAACGGTGGCGCTCGTTGATGTTTAGGCGCCCGTCGAGGATGTGCCCAACCAGCAACGTCCGAAACCTCAGGTGCGGCATAGGCATCGTCGTGAGGTGAGCTCGAACGACGAGCAGTGCAGGCAGCAGCAGGACTGCCGACGTGACGATCACTATGAAGAGGTGCACGTCGCTTACGGACGGCGGCGGCGGCGGTGGCGGTGGCGGCAGCGGTGCCACGTCTCGTCGCTTGTAGAAGGATGCCGCCGCTATGAGTAGCGTTGTCGGCATGAGTGGTCCGGGGAGGGGGTGGTTGACTTTTCGGCGGCTCTGCCAAAAAAAGGAAAAAATTGTCCCACCCCTCCCTCCCCTGGGTTGTGTGTTTTTTCTTTCTTTCTTTCTTGGGATCGCTTGTCATTTGAGATAGTGCAGAAAGAAAGAAAAAGACGCCCGAACGAGGGGTGGGACGAGACAGGATCCCCCCCTGCACGAAAAAGAAAAAAGAAAACCTGCAGAGCAAGGGAGCGACCACCTGCACGATGGGGCCCACGATTTTCTCTTTCGCGGCTCTGCTCACGCTTTGCTGTGCCTCTTTCCAGCTGCCTCTTCTCACCAGTGCGTGGAGACGACAGAAGAGAAGGAATCGACCGCCGTCATGCGACTGGAGCCACGGATCGAGCGGCGAGCGGCCGCCACCCTCCTCGCCGCCGCCAGCGTTGCACCAACCCATTTGGCGTACGCCGATGCGCCAGCAACGCTGCGGATCACTCGCTACTCCCACTTGGAGACGGTGCCTGCGACGAGCAAGAGGCTGATCCTCTGCCGGCACGGCGAGACGCTCTTCAACAAGCTGCATTTGCCACAGGGACGGCTCTTCGACGCAGCGCTGGACGGTGCGGGCCAAGCGCAGGCGGAGAAGCTAGGCGCTGTGCTCGCTCAGGGCCCGCCGCTCTCAGTCGTCGGCTCCAGCCCGCGGCTGCGGGCGATGCAGACGGCAGACCGCTGGGACTGACCGCCCAAAGATCGACGGATCGGGGCATGAGTGCAATCGGCACTGCGACGTAGGCGGACGCCATCGCTCGGGCCCGTCAGCCCGCCCGCCTGCGCGAGGCGCCGCGAGACGACCTTGACGAGGTGGAGGATCTGGTGGTGCCGACCGAGGTCAGAAAGGCGTACGTCGCGACGCGCCTGCGAGCCTTTGGCGCGCTCATCCAGCTCCAGCGCGCCCTGCGGCCGGGAGAGGCGGGCGCGTGGGTCACCCACTCGCGATTTCTGCGCGTCGTTCTCGCGGCGGCCGCGGCGGAGGAGGCCAAGGCCCGCCCGGGCTTCCTGGACGAGTGGAAGCGAGCCTTCCCCGCCGGGTTCGCGATCAGCAACGCCGGCATCTCGTGCGTTGACGTGAGCGAGCGCGGCGTCTTCTCCCTGCGTTGTGTTAATGCTTAGTGTGAGTATTCTTGAAACACACAACACACACCTGTCCTTTCTTAGTGCGAAAGAAAGTTTCTCAAAAATTTACCTTAGTACAACCGCGGCGCCTTTGGCTGCCGTGATGTCCGCCTGGCCTGCCTCGTCCGCCAAGCCGGTCAACCAGCCCGGCCAGCTGCCCGTCGCTCAGCCCGTCGCCCAGCCCGGCCAGCTGCCCGTCGCTCAGCCCGTCGCCACCACTGCCACCGGCCAACCCGTGGCTGCCACCGCCGCTGGCCAGCCCTTAGCCGTCCAGCCGGTTCCGATCGTCGTCCAAGAGATCCGACCGCAAGCCATGACTCGCGATGTCGAGGTTTTCGGCTTCGTCCTCAAGGACACGCGCAACATCCACAACGCGAAGAGTCTCGCAGGCATCTACTTCAGCTGCGTCCATGACGACTCGTGGTTTCCGGGCGATGCTATGCTCGGCTGGTGGGCGTCGTGTCCCGCGCCCTGCCTCTCCTGCCGCCGCTTTTCCGCGCAGGACGACCACACCCTCGTGCTCGCCAACGGCTGCTGCTGCGGCTGCCCCGAGCCGGCGGGCCAAACCTTCCACCGCAACTGGGACGAGAATGGGCAGCCGGGGCCGCCAAACTCATTCAGTAGCGCAGCGGGCGGCGACATGGAGTTCGGCGCGTGCAACGGGCTGTGCGCAGGCTCGAATGGCCACTCCGGCTCGATGTGCTACCTGCGGTGCGCTTAGATATGCTATCCGTCTATCCCCTTGAGATAGATCCTTGATTGCTTTTGAGCGAGTGTGACCCCAGGAGAGTCGCGGTCTCTGTCCACACGTCAGAATGCGCGTGCTGGTTTGCCGTGTACCACTCAACGTTTGCTTAAGATATGGTCGTGTAGGGGCTTTTACTCCCGCGTCGGTGGTGGCACTGGCGGACCACGCTCGTCTCACGCGCTCGAGGCTCGCGCCGCAGCACGCGCTAGAAATTCATCAAGTCGCTGAACGCCTTGGCGGTATACGCGTCACCGCCCGGCAGGCCGACGTCCCACGGGCAGAGGCTGTCGGGCATCGCGTAGCAGTGCTTCCAGAGCCGCACGCCCTGCTGCGCAAACGCGAGAAGCACCTGGCGCCAGAGCGAGAGGAGTGAGAGTCTGAATCCGAGAGAGTGCGCGGGAAGGGGGCGTGACCAACGTGACACATAGGAGCGGAATCAGAGGGGCGATGTCAGACACCGCAAAGTAGAGGCCCACAAATAGCGTGGACGCCGACTCGGGGTCGGAGTCGAATGCTGCGCGGAAACGCCTGAGCAGGCCCGGCTCGTCCTCGCCGCGCTCCTCCGGGTCGAAGAATGGACGGTCCAGTAGCTCGTCTAGCCGCTCGCCAATGCTCGGTCGTGTCTTTGGATCGTTGCCGCTGGTCCGCTGCCCGTCCCGCCGCCCGTCTGGCTGTGAGCCGTCGCCTGGCGCGCCGTCCTCAGCACTGTTGCAGCAGCAAACCCTCCGGTGGCGCTGCTGAGCAAAAGCGGGCCGTGGCAGTGGCGTGATCCAGCTGCAGGTGAGGAGCACCGCTGCCATCAAAATAAAAAGAATTTCCTTGCGACATGCTAGCACTAACACAAAAGCACCGGAGCCGCCTGAGCGAATTCGGTAAGCACGGCAATCACTTAGCTCCGTGCACAATGCGGTCAATGCCACTCTCCTCGCACGCTAGCTCGCAAAATAAAAAGAATTCTACGAGTACGATGAAGCCCCTCTCACGAGGAAGAGGAGAGCGACGCGACAGAGGAAGAGGCGACAAGGGAGAGCACGACGAGAAGGGGGAGATCGCGAGGTGGCACGAAGGTTGCAGCGAGAATCGGAGAGAGACTGCGAAGTGAGATAGGAAGAGGCGGACGCCCAAGGGTGGGCGATGGCTAGCGCACCACACCCCTCTCCTTAAAATCCCTGTGTGGTGGCGGCGTGCCGTCCTCCCATCCCTCCCTTGGGTTGTCTGTTTTCGTTCTTTCTTTCTTTTCATCTCTCTCTCTCTCAGCAGACTGGCTCGGACTGGCACGAATAAAAAGAATTCCCTGAGGCTAAGAAAGCTTTTCTATCGGCGAGCGGGGTGGGCATAACTTTTTCCTTTACGCGGCGTCTTGCAGCACTTCCTGCATCTGGGTTCAGCAAGATTCTAATGGTAAAAGAAAGAAAGAAAGAAAACACACAACCCAAGGGAGGGATGGGAGATTCTAATCAAAGAGATATATTTGCCACAAACCGCACAAACATGGCACCCGACCAGCTGAAGCTCTAGACTCGTCGACCGAGCTCTGGACGATGCCGACCTCAAACCACCAGCGCCAGCAACGACGTGCCGCGGCTCGCCGCGCCGCTGTTGCGACCGACGACGTGCCCGACGCCGTCCCGCGGCCGAAAGGAAGAGGCCCGCGCAACCACTTCTGGGACCCGCGGCCGCCGGGCGTGCGGCGGCACAACGAGTCGAACGAACCGAACCAGCGCAGAGCGGCGCGTCTCGCGAGCGCCCGCGGCCGCCACGCCGACGCCGTCCGCGGCCGACGGGGGTCGCGAATCAACGCGGCGCGGTGCAACGAGGCCAAGTCCTTCCAGGCTCCCGCCAGCAGCGCCTCGTGGCGTGGGCTGCACGGCCCTTCGAGACGGCCCGGGGGGCGGTGAGAGACCTCTCCCGCCGGCATGGCGCACTATATCACCCGTAGAGGCCTCTCTATAGTCGCCTTTTGGCACCTCCTCTATCCACGCCGCCGATTAGACCTCGCCGCATCGCATCGCCCCCTTCCCTGCCCCGTCGCCCTCCTGAGCTCTCCCTCCTTCGCTCCAGCCATGCACAGGACGTGGACCATTGGCCCGCGTGCCAGGCGTCCGGGACGGCCGGGTATCGGCTCCGTACTTTGAGCCCTCTTGGGCCACCCTCGCGTCCACCGGCCGGCAGAGCACCGCTTGGGCGACTCAGACGGCCCGCCCGACCAGCGCGTTCGATCGTGCCGCCCCCACAGCGTCAGTGGCGTGCGTGGGGTGGCAGGCGGCGTCAGCGCAGCCCCTCGTGGTGGTGCCCACCGCTCTCCTCTCACCGCTCCCCCCCGCCCGTGGCACCCCACACACTCGTCCCTCCTCAGGGGCGCAAGGCGGCACGGCACGTTCAGCGCTGGCCTTGGCCCACCTCGCCTTCACGCCCGCCACCGCGACCAAGGAGGTGGCCTCGGCGGCCCAGATGAAGCCCGTGCGGCTCGTTTGGGAGCCGCATGCCGTCCCTCTCTCGCCGGCGCTGCTCACCACGCCCAAGCCTACGCCGAGGAACCCGTCGCGCCCGTCGCTCACAAGCTGGTGGCTCGCATCGACCGAGCCGTCCAGCTTTCTCACGCCCTGCCCACGATCAAATTCGAGACGACCAACATCCGACCACAAAAAAGGCCCGCGCGTGCTGCGCGGGCCGGCGAGCGACTAGCGAGCCAACCTGCTAGTGGTTGTAGGTTTTTAATACTCCGCAGAGTTCTTTTTTTGCGGCGCGTTCACTCGTCCTGCTCTCGATTGGTTTGCATCCCTTTGGTGAGTGCCGCAGGTTCCCTCGTGCCCATCGGCGTTGGGTCCGTGCGCACCTACAAATGCAGCGCCTCTCGGACTCTGCCTACCAAGTCCACTCGCTGCATGGCGCGAGCGCCCCTTTCGCCGCGCGAGCTCGGCGCAGCCGCATCACAAAGGCATCTGTGCGAAATAGGCGGAGAGCTCCGACGCCTCGCTGGAATGGTTGCGATGCAGGCAGATCAGATCGAGGCGCTGCGTCAAGAGCTCCATTCGCTGAAAAAGCTTGTGCGGAGGGTTTCCGGCGCTGCTGCAGTCGAGGCACCGATCGAACAAGGCGCGATGGGTGCCAAACTGGCCCGGTTAGCACGCTGGGCGCCTGCCCAGCTGGGCAGCTCGCACCGACACAGCCGCACAAATTCCACGGCAGAGGCTGGGCAGGACAAATCCCCAACTTCGGGACGCATGTCGCAATCTTCACCAAAGACGGGCGGTCCGTCCGCCGTGCGGGAGCGGCTGAGGGAGCTCAAGAGCCTGCACGACGAGGGGCTGCTCCCCCTCGCTGTCTACGAGGAGCGCTCCCGGCAGATCGCAAGCGAGCTGTAGCGATCGCCGGGTCGAGAGTCACGCGGACGGGCTGCTTGGTTGCCTTCGTTTCGGTGGGAGGGTGGTTTGTGAGCTGAGGGCTGTGGAGGATCCGCTTGCTTTATGTGTATCCCGAGTCGGTGCCCGGTGCCCGACGCTGAGGAGTTTTGGGGGTTGACCTTAGAATATAGAAACCCCCGAGGGCGAGGATGGGGTGGGGTGGGCGGGTGGGTGGTCTTGGGTGGTGGTGGTGACAGCCCACGTGAAATAAACTGCTCTAATGACTCTAAAGTCTGATTACGTAAATAAACAGAGAAGCTGTGGAGCGAATAGCGAAATCCAAAAGTGCTGGTAGTGGTACACAGTTCCTAGAAAGGCCCCCATATGCCGTAAGAGGTGGGCGGAATTAGGCCAAAGCGGATGAATTTGGCCAACAGAGCGGATCGCGCCCAGCGGGGCTTCCCGACGAGCGGCCGACGCAGGGATGGAACCGCACGCAGCAAAGGCCGGTCGGCGTGCTCGCGCGCGACAGTGGCGCGAGCACAAGAGCAATGCTTGCGCTCCTGTCGGCCCTGGGATGTGAGGTTGCCGACTGCAAGTGCTCCTCGAAAGTGCTGTGTGCTCCAAGTGCCGCCAGGATCGGTCCTGACCTGCCCAATCGTGTGGAGGCGAGGCCGATAGCGGCCCGTGTGCCACACACTGTTGCTCCGGCGGGGGCGACGCTTCAAGTTCTAAATCACGGGGCAAGGAGCCCAGCATCTAATAAACACGGGCGAGGAGGAAGTATGGTGCGCCCAGCACGGTCTCCCGCGGCGGCGGCCTGGCGATGGCAAATCTGAAATAAGTACGATGATGCTAATGAACGCGAGTATTTCGTTCGGAGAACATTGTGGAGACTTAATACATACTGGTGGCGCGAATTCTTTCATGACAGAGCTTGGGGCGGCGATGGATGGAAGAGGCTGGCTTGCAACGAGCCCCTCTCACAATTACACAAAGACGGAACAAGAATTTTACAAGAAAACTCCCTCTCACAACATTAGACGGTGGCGAGGGAGAGGAAGGGGGTCCATAACACCAGACAGCGAGAGGGGCAGGGAGGAAAGGGGGAGAGAGGAAGCCAACGGCGTTGCCACCGGCAGCAGGGGACACGATGAACAAGTAGACAACGGTCAAGGCGATAGCGAGGACGAGGAGACGCGAGACGATGGCAGGCGAGACGAGGAGGACGGAGGCGAGGAAAGAGGCAGCGCCGCGGTCGACGGAGGCGACAACGATGGAGAAGGGGAGGGAGCGACAACGCGCACAGAGGATGAGGATATAAATTGGGACGAAGCAGCAGAGGGGATAGGCGAGGGAATCGAGGGACCGGAGGGCTTTCGCGACAGCGACGATGACGACGAAGGCAGGGGAGGAGATGAAGGGGCGACACGCAGGAAGGGCGAAATGTATCGCGAACGGCCCGAGCAGAGAGGGCGACGGCAGGGCACGAGGGGGCAACGGAGACGCTACCGATGACGCGAACCGAGGCACGGGCGACGGCGGGGATGGGGAGGACGACAGCGACGTCGAGGTTGACGCAACCGTATCGAGAGCGCCACCCAAAAGGAGGAGGACAGCCATGGAGGTCACCGAATGGAGGGCGAACGGCGCGATACGAAAAGGCAGGGCGAAGCGGATGGAGAGAGGAGTACCGAGAAGGCCGTGGTGGAGGGGAGGGACAGGAGGGCGACACGAGGGCGAGGAGGACGAGCGGCCCGCACAGACCGCGAGCAGACAGCGCCTGCTGGCCATTTCGAGACATTCGCAAAGAACGCTGCAACATGGGAGGGCTTCGTGAAGGGTGGATACGTGGATTGAAACACATTCGAACAAAGAAGAGGCGGCGGGAGAAACGGCAGAGGATGCAGTGACTTGACCCCCTCACCCCCCCCCCTCACACACACACACACACACACACACACACACACACACACACACACACACACACACACACACACACACACACACACACACACACACACACACACACACACACACACACACACACACACAACGCTTATCAGCCCAAGGCTGGGCATCCAAAGGGCAGGGCAGCCCAGAACGGGGGTCGTAGCCCCACACGCGCACTGGGCCTTGCACTTTTAATGCCGTGGGGCTCCTGTCGTCTAGACGTGGAGACGCGGGGGTCGCCCCCCCTTGCCCCACCACCTCGTGTGTGTGGGAAGTTTACCTTACCTTTCCTACCTTAGGCATCTTACCTTATTTCCCGTGTCCGGTTTTCCGTTTCGGGCGACGGCACACTCACCGAGCTATCCGGGCGGGGAATCATGTCGGCGAAGGCGGGCTCTGGCATCTCGGTGATGCGCTCCGATCTCGACGCGTCGACCTCGACGGAGGTGGACGCGCACGAGGCGCAGTGGCGGGCCGGCGTCAACCGCCAAGCGCGTCCAGACGCCGCTTCGCAAAGACGGGCGGCGTCATTGGCTGCTGCAGCCAAGCGGCGGCGGATAAGGACATGAACAACATACCTGCGCAAGCCGTCGCCCGGGCGGCCGCAGGCGGTGCCATCTCAACCCACTCTCGGCACCGCTGCACGTGCGTGCTCCCTCTCCCACCCAACTCGGCTCCACTCTCGTCCACCCGCGCCCACCCCATCATCTGCTCTCAGGCTGATTGCGGCGTGTGTTGCGCAATGCCGAGCCACCAGACGCTGGCCAGAGCATGATTGTGATGCCTCTGTCTGGGCCGGGGGGGCGTTCGACAGCGCGCGAGGCTGCCTCCCTGCCCTTTGCGACGCTTGGGACCCCTGTTGAGTTCCATCCAGTACAAAGTACCAGTGGTGGGGAGGGTTTTCCCCCCCCCCCCCCCCCCCGGGCAGAATGGTAAACTCGTGTCTACTCACCTCGTCGGCTCCATCGGCTGCCTCTCCTCGTGCGCCGGCTGCCTCTCCATCCAACCGCTTCTGCGTCCCCTTCTCTGCCCGGTGCTCGCGTGTCGCGATGTCGCTCTGCCGAGAGGGTCATCGCCGGCGTAGGCGGAGCGGCGGGCCCTTCGTTACAGAGACAACAAAGACATTTCACCCCTCGGGCTGTTGTTGCAGACAGAAAAACAAATTTGGCGCGCGTGCGCGCAAGGTATGCTAGTATGATAAAAAAGAAAGGTATGCCACCTGCCGTCCTCTACTCGGGGGTCCGGCCGACGCTTCGTCGCTGCAGCAACCGCGAGAGCTACAGACAAGCGCGATGCTTCGGGTCGCTGCGAGGCGTGCGTCCGTGTCGCTGCCGCACCTTACCCGTGGCTATCCTGCGCCGTATCCGTCGCACACCGTCCTCGGCATGCCGGCGCTCTCGCCGACGATGACGCAAGGCAATGTCGAGAAGTATTTGGTCAAGGTCGGAGACCCGATCGCGGCCGGCGACCGCATCGCAGAGGTTGAGACGGACAAGGCGACCGTCGACTTTGACGTCGTCGACGACGGCATCGTGGCGAAGTTTCTCATTCCGGAAGGCGCGCAGGATGTCCAAGTCGGCACGCCGATGATTGTCCTGTGCGAGGAGGCGGGCGACGTGGCGGCCTTCGCGGACTTTGAGCCCAAGGCACCCGGCAGTATTGCCGAGGCGGCGCCGCCGCCGACCGAATCGGCGCCGGCGCCGGTTGCCGCACCGCCGCCACCCGTGCTCGGCGCCGCCTCGGCAGCCGGAAAGGGAGCCTCGCTGGCCGTGACGGCGTGGGGCCGCTGGACGGTCATGGTGGCGTGATCCGGATCACCGGTGGCTATCGCGCGCGGCGCAGTCGACGTGGGGGCGCGCCGGCGGCGAGGAGGGGGAGCAGCAAAGAGGAGCGACATACCGTTAGCAGCGAGCACGCGAATCGCGATGCCGATGGCCGATGCGAGGCGCCGGCTGACGTGCGGGTGACGGATGTAAAACGGTCATACCGACGGCATGGACAGTGTTGGTTGGTGAAACACGGTTTACCTCTAAACCTAAGCGTCCACTCTCTCTGACTCTCTCTCTTGTCGCTCTCTCTCTCTCCTAAATTGTGATTTGTGT